AAATTATCATTGGCTTCGGGGGAGGCTAAAGTCCTTAAAGATAAAATATTTTACTATAGTGAGCGACTCAGGACTACTATCTTAGTAAGTATGTTGATTTGGTATTTTTTACTTCTGCAAACATTTTATTTTGCCTTTGCAACTTGCCGTTATCCTTTGCATTCATCGGCTAGGTGTACGTCCACATTTTATAGGGCCACCATTTAAAAATGAAGTGTTAAACATGTGCAAAGAATTATCTAATATGTAATTTGCCATGTATATAGAGAAAACGTTCTTTTTGAAGAAGTACAATTGAAAATTACGTTTTTGAGCTTACCGTGAAAGAAAACGAGTAGCAAGTGGATATCTATATTTGTATGAATAATCAAATTCACGTTGAAAATATCGGTGTGCAATCTATATAGCTTAAAATTTTATTTCCGAATTGTATTTTAATATTTCAAAAATAGAGCTTGAATTTGAAATTATAAAATTCTAACTTGTCAGGAATGTTTGTTCTTAAGCCCTTAATCTGTTTTTCATTCTATGATTGCATAAATATCTTGAACGGTGAATTGCATATAGTTAGTGAAGTACGTGGTGCCCCCTTAACACGTACCGAAGCCACCCCGGTTCCTGGGGAACAAAAAATAGGAGGAGGGGTATGATGAACATCAGAATAAACTGGTATATAATTAAAGTAATTCTGTTATGTATTTAAGATAATAAGAATTTTACGTGTGTTTAGCAATGCATTACAAATATTTTTATAAGTTTGTTTTAAAATATTTTCAGTTTTTTAGAATGGAAAGATCTTATAAAGTATTAAACATTTCATAAATTATTTTATGATCCTTTCTGTAGGAACCCAGAATGATACATCATTGTTTAAGAACTAGTTCAACATTCACTATTTTGATCCGATAGCATAGCTTTATCTATATACACTAAAATAAGATTTACATAAATACTCATTTACGTAATTACAACCAGATCCGGTTGTGAGAGAACGCTGTAATTTTCGAGGTGATAACGCATGGAGTCGATTTCAAATTTTGTAATTTTCTAAAAGCTTTGAAAGACTAAAGATCACTAAGGTGTTCTAATAATAAAAGTTCTAAATGATGAAAAAGAATCACCCTACTTAAACAAATAAAGAACAGAAACTACACTGATGTTATCGCTGGGCGCCTGTTGACGTGAGACATCATTATATAGATTTTCTGTTTAAAGTGGCTGATTGGTGCCGGCTCGTGTGCTAGATTATCCCATGTGCGAACGAAATCTGTCATAACACACATGGGAGTGTCAGTGTCCGGAAAAGTGATTGGAAATGTACTGCTGTTCGTCGATATTGAAGTACATACTTGATGTAATTTGTTTTAAACATGTCCTTTCACAAAATTATATTGAAACTAATTCGTGTTCTATTTTACACAAGTTTTACGTGTGATTTGAAAAATGAGATCATATTGCTGATATCTCAATATACGGATTGTTTCAAATGAATTAAGTTCTTAATATGAATTCTGCAACAATTTAGAGTGGGGTCAAATATTTGTGGTGTAGTTTCAGTTGATTGCACCGGACTAGTGAAATAACAATTTTACATGAGTAATACCACCAATACTATGATTTAGTATGTAATATTACTAACGTATTTGTGAGTTGTATGCTAGTAGCTTTCTGTTTAAATTAGTTTGCAAACTTTTTTTTGCAAACTCTTTCACTCGCATTAAAAACGGCGAAAACATTTTTCCTCTGAATTTTTCTAAATTAATTAAAATGCAAACATTTATGAGAAAACCATAATCGACACCTAACACCGCCCGGTACACCTGCTTCATCCTATACCACAGTCCGTCGCCTCTTAAGGGTTTCGTCGCTTGAGGCAACACATTATTTTGGTGTGTAACCACATTTCCTTGAACATTTTAGATCGCAACCCCCTATTATTTCCCCGCCTGATCAAATGTTCGTGTAATATGGGAAACAATTGATCCAGTGAAACAAAAGATCTTGTGGAACATCTATTTATACGCCCGCTGTATGTAATATGCTATGTAAAGACTATTATACTGACTGCAAGTGCGTAACTGATATGCAAAGAATTATCCTCCATGCCTGTAACCAGAAAATGTAATATGATCAGATTAATGTTTGCAGCTTTATAATGAATGCAACATCGCGCAAGCAACCTCTAAAACAAGTTACCATCATGCATAAAATGAGAACAATGCATCCTAAGACTTCAAAACTAGATTTTCCTGACTTCTATAAGAAACAGGAAAAGTTTCTAATGCCATCATAAAAAAGGATACCATTTTGGATGTTGAATTACATTTTTAGCAGACAAAACGTTGCTCAGGTAGTCAAAAACGTTAGTGGTTGTGTTCCTATATCAAGTAATGTTCCCTTTTAAAACAATTGTGTAAAATCTGCTGAATGTCCGCTGGTATATGAAGACAGAGTTAGAATGTACTACGCAAGAGTGGCCGAAGCGCATCCATTTTTGCAGTAAATGGAGGCCACGTTTTATGCAAAGTAGCGTCCTCTGGAGAAATAGTATTACTTTTTGACGCTGGTTAAGGCCGGATGGGCGGGTGCGGCGTGTAATACAAATCTTCTAACTCTGTGTTTTACAACTTTAAACCAAACATTTAGAAACGAAATCACAGTATGTAAGGAGAACGAGCTGAGAAACGTTAAAAACACGTAGCTTCCTGCATCGATTATTGTCAGATGAATGGATGCTGTTGAAGTGATATTGTAGTTAGCATAACGTCTGGAAGTGAATATTATTGCGATTATTATTCTAACCACTAATAGAATTTAAGTACAAATAAACGAAAATATCTCAATATAGAAATAAGATCTGATACAAACAACAGGCCGATTCAGAACAATATTTCTACACGCCACCGCCAGAAACCTTTAATATTTGACTGCTATAAACATAGCGGTCCCTATTTCGTCGAGCGTCCACCAAGAGCGCTGAAACCACAGGGTCAGCCAACCTATACAATTTTTCTATATAGGCCAATGATATTAGGTCATTGTTACACCTGCCTTATAAAACGAATCTCTTCAACAGTGATTAGCACATTTCTGAGGCCACGAGCCCAGTTGAGAAAGTCGTTTGCGGAAACATTACTATTAATTTTTAAGGTACAAGATGCAACAATGACCTGACCGTCATCGGCAAGTACAGAACGATCGAAGTATAGTACATTCTAGCTCGTTGAAGACTTTGCGACATGTCGCCGCCCGCCAGCGAGCGCGGGCGGGGCCGCCCGGAGCGCCAGCGCGGCCAGCGCCACCTCTGTGGCGAGCGCGGCGGCGGCGCCCGCCAGCCCGGCCGCCCACAGCACCAGCGCGCCCGACACGTGCGCCAGCGACAGCCGGTGCGGCGACGACTCCGCCGCCTGCAGCGCCACCACGCGCGGGTCGGCCGCGTCGCGCAGCGCCGCCTGCTCGCGCAGCGCGTTCGGCCGCTTCCGCACCTGCGCGCACGCACGGCCTCGCTCTTTTGTTGCGCGCTGATTGGAATTGTGTAATAATAATGACAATAACAGTAATAAAAATAATAGTACTTTAAATTTTGCAACCATCACTGTTGCATGTTTTAACAATAATTTGGGAATACAAGAATGTAGATTTCCGGTTTCACTATGGGCAACTACCGTTGGGACCCCGTAACTACTTTGCAGAAGTGTTCTACGAATAGTCAAACGCCATAGGTAATAATTAGGGGGCAGGTTCTAATGAAATGTCATTTTTTTCACTTTAAAACAACGTGTAGAATATAAATTCATTTTATGTTGTGAAGAAACGAGATGACCATTTTTGTAATTCATGTTGCATTTTTCGTCGATTTTGACTTAAGTATTTCTTTTACATTTTTACGTCCGCATTGTTCAGTGATTTCATAGATTTCAGTATCATTTTAATCGTACTTGCTTCAAATAATATTTACTAGGATCAAAGAATGTTAACCACAGAATTCCTGAGTAGCCTATTAGAGTTCTTCGCTCATATATTGTACTGTACACGTAGGCTTCCGCGACTCGAGTCCATTACTTCTAGGCTGTCCGGGTGACGCCGCGTCGTTGGCAGATAGGCTATCTGCCAACGACGCGGCGTCACCCGGACAGCCTAGAAGTAAAGCATATATTGAACTGTCAGCCGTCGTGAGTAGTATGTAATTATAGGTTTCTGTAACGTTTAACGGCGCCACTGTCAATTCGGCCGATTTCGCGATAAAGACAGAGATCTTTTTTAAAAGAACAGTCTATATCCAAAGTTTGCAAACTTAGTTGACTTGAACAAAAGGAAGAAATCTCGATTACATCAGTAACATAACCAACAGTTTGAGTTGTTCACCCGGAAAGTTTTCAACAAATTTTTTACATTTTCCTTCATTTTAAGAGCATTGTATTGAGCGTTTTTGGTCATCCAAACCGCCCTCTAGTAATGATAGTAACAGTAATAATGGAATAGAATGGAATAATAGAGTAGAATTTAATCTAAAGAAATATACAACCAATTTTAAAAACGGCAAGTGATTTTAATTTTTCCAACTAATTTAGATTTTTGTTACCTTCCTCCACAAAAAATTGTTCAAAAGCTCAAAAGTCAATCATTCTTGAAACCTCAGATTGTTCGCATGATTCTAAATTCGAAAACCTAGTAAGGTGGTATTGCAAACCTTTGAAACTCCTAACAAACAGGTCTTTGACCGAGCGCGAACTTTCCTTACCCATTTCGGATACTTCTTTTCCTTATAAACATCTATTGTTTTTAATACGCTTTTAGTTTCCACTGCAAATTTGCGAGAGGATTTTGTTCTAATACACGGTGTCATAGTCATGCTTTCTTTCGGTGAATCTCGGCCAACAAATTTATAAAATGGTCGCCCTGTATTGCATGTACTCTCGAATAACGGAGCCCTTTCCCACCCATGTCCCAAAAGTAGTGTGAATGGGGACGGGCGGGGGGGGGTGCGTACCTCCCGGGTGATGGCGGGCGCGACGAGCCCCGCCGCCAGCAGCTGCAGCACGCGGCGGTCAAGCGCCGGCAGCAGCGGCCAGCCCTTGCGCGCCAGGAAGCCCACGAGCGAGACGCCCAGCGGGAGACGCGCGGCGCGCAGCCGCTCCGCCGCCAGGCCCCGCGACAGCAGCAGGCTGCCTGCGCACGCCCATGCGCTTCGCTCGAGCTTCCGTTCGTTGGTCGTTTGTTCGTGGGGTGAGGTGTGTGTTTGTTCGTGGGGTGAGGTGTGTGTTTGTTCGTGGGGTGAGGTGTGTGTTTGTTTGTTCGTGGGGTGAGGTGTGTGTTTGTTTGTTCGTGGGGTGAGGTGCTACCTCCAAGGGCGAGGCCAAAATAGATAAGCATGCTGCTCCCCTCGCATGATACCATCCTCCATCTTTCTGCCTCTTCCTTGCTTTCATATCCATTTGTTCTATGTTATTTATTAGCTAGCATGAAGAAATTTCTAAATTTTCAAGTGAATTATATTTAGTTCTCACCCATTCCACAAAAAGTCAGCGAGTTCTGACTTCTGAATGTTTCAAAAACTAATGAATCAGAAATATCCTATAATAGAAAATTCTACTAAATTGTGCGTGTGGTGCCGATGTATGTGTGTGGTGTTGGTGCGTGTGTGTTGTAGGGTGATGAGTGTTTGTATGGGTGTGTGCCTGTAGGAGATGAGCGTACGGTCCGGCAGGCGCTCGCCTATGAACCCCCAGAAGGCGCCCGCGTGCGACAGGTGTGCCATCTTCTCCTCGGGCATGGTGCGGAAGTTGGCGACGACAGCCGCGAGCGCCGGGGAGTCTGCGCCGCGCAGCGGGAGCAGCCACGTGTCCTCGGTGCCCGACCAGCGCAGCCCCGCGCGTGCCAGCTGCTCCACCGTGTCCAGCGGCGCCGAGAACCTGCGCAGCCGTGCGCAGCCCTCAGAAGCTACAAGGAGTTAGATTAGTACAGGATGATTCAGAGTATGTTACTAACACCTAGGGCAGGAAAGCGCATGATTCTAAATCGCAGACGAATTTTAGTTTTCGTTCCTGCTGTTCATGGCGTCACCGTTGCCGTTCACAACAAGAGCCCTCCACTAGATTTCTCTTCTTGGTTCACTTTTTCACTTGGTTCACTTGGGTGATTAACTTTTAACGGGTAGATGATGCATTTCAAAGTTGCATATTACGCATTTCAAAGTTGAGGCCGAGACTTGGGTCTTTGGCTCTCTCCTTAACATAAAACATCCTTGATTCTCTGTAGCTCACACTTACCAACGTATTTTATGCATTCTTACTTAAAAGCTAGTTGAAACATTGCTATGCATTTTCAAGTTGAAGGGTTAGCTTGGGCCCTTGCGTTACCATGAAACATCCAAGCCTGTGCAATGCATAATTTCTGACACTTTGAGCCAGATATGACAATAAAAATGAGACCAGACCAGCGAACATGACAACACGTGTTCAGTGTGCTGGTACGCTACCACTCTCACCACATGCTCTCCACGTAGAATCTTTCCCCAAAACTGCACAAAATCGAACGCGCCAGATAGCACTTTGAACGGCAGATACATGACAAAAATTCTGCTTAAATTTAGAATTAAGCATGTAGGAGGTAGAAGATCACCTATCGTCAATCAATACGTGGTGAGAAATCTAATAACAAAAATATACTTGCGGCATTTTCCCATGATTGAATTGCAATTCGTGCACAGGTATTCAGCCGATTCACGAATTCTCTTTGAGCGAGAACGAAACCCTTCGTACCATTGCCATGCTCCTACCTCTAGCGCTGAATAAATCACAAACTCCAGGCCCACCCGTGGAGACCGCCGTGGAGAGCGCCGAGCGTACCTGGGCACGGCGAGCTCCGCAGCGAAGCCCGCGGCGTAGGCGGCGGCGAGCAGGGCGAAGAGCTCGGAGAGGGCGACGAGCAGCGCGCGGGCGACGCGCGAGTGCGCGGGCAGCACGGGCGCCGATTGGCCCAGCAGCGTGCCCCACGCCACCAGCGCCGCCGGCCCCGACGCCCCTGCGCACGCAGCCACGGCAACAGTGAAGCACGTCCCGTGGCTTATCAGCTAAATCCTCGTATCGTCCGGTTTAAATAATGTCTTCTCAAGGTAAGGAGCTGGAAGAAGAGGGGACTGTGTCATCGAATCGGGCGCTTCAGTAACAAAATTTCAGTCGGAACAAAGCTCCCGAGTGGATGGCAGTGTCCTCTTCCCTTTCAGCTTCTGAGCTTGAAGAAAATCCACATTTAAATCGGACTACAGAGTGACGGTTGTTCAGATTGTGAGTACTGATGTCGGGTTTATTAACTGCTAAGGTCGTTAGTCCCTTGGGTGTGGTGCATGCTACATTCCGGAAGTTGGTGGTATTCCTCCCCAATGGAATATGAGATTCCGCGCCGTCCTATGTGTTGGCTTGCGGGGATTTCCTCTTCCAGGTTTCTCCCCCAAGGAGACAGCCTGGTAAAGAAGTGCATGCAAATACGTGTATGTGAGGACGGTTCCGCACGGTCCGTGGCCTTTTTATTTTGGTACTGCTCCTGGATTCTCCTGGTATTTATCGCATATATATATATCAGAGCAGCTGACTCATAAAATTCTCCTTCAGGCCTTGTTTAAGTTCAACCCAGCCACGAAATCAGTCGCGATCAGGACTGCTACAGAGGGAACGATATGACATATGATTTGTCGTAGACAATGGAACACGTGAAACACATTTTGCAGTTTCTTAAAACTATCAACATTTACTACGTGCGAAAGATAAAATGTGTATTCTGCAACTCCAAAAACATACATAATGACATAGAAGAAAGATGAGATATAAATATGAGACCAATAGTATTTTGTAAATAGAGAAAAAAGCTTCTATATTTGCTCGTTGTCCCGGACAAATGATCATTTGACTGGAATTTTAAACAACGTGTCGTTTCTCACACGCACGCACACCAGCGCATTCCGTTCGCGCCTTATCAACTCGATGACGTACCCGTGCCGAGCAGCTGCAGCACGGCGGCGGCGGCGACGGTGGCGGCGGCGGTGACGGCCCAGAGCACGGGGCTGAAAGGGCGCGCGGGGGCGAGCAGCACGCTGAGCGGGTGCGGCCGCGGCGCCAGCACCACCAGCTCGTTGCGCAGATGAGGCACCGCCTACGCACGGTTAAGCGCTCCTTCACACATTGCCGCTCAGCAGCGCTTCCAAGTGGCGCGTCTGCTGGTAAAGCTTTGGTTTAAATGGAGGTTTTCACGCGAGTGGCTTATTTGCGCTGTTGCGGCGGTCGCTGGCAAACTCCCACCCCCAGAAGCGCGTACGCATCATCACTACACCACAGATCTACACAGGTTTGAACAGAGTTTTTGCATACTGCCTGCCTTTCGTCCGCTTGAGTCCACAGTGGTGTAGCTCACGAACGTTTCCTCCCTCGTGAACTATGGCGGTCGGTGGTGACTGTGAAGGGCTCTGTCGGTTCTCGTGGCGCTACCAGTGGCTCTGTGTAAATATTCTCTAAAGTACCACGCGGGTGTAGAGCACAGGCAGGGTGACGAATTTATTTAATTATTGTTTGAATTATCATTGCACAATATCACTTAATATGAACATTACATTACATGGCAACTTACATTTTTACTCATAACTACTGCAGAGATAATAGAACATATTAGGAATTCGGACTTTGGGGTACGTGTATGCGAATTTTCGGAGGAAAGCGTAAAAATATTTGTTTATAATTCGGGTACAGAAATATGTTCTTAGCAAGTAAGAATTTTGAAAGTAATGAATTTTGCGCAAGTTAAAGTAATTATTATCGAGGTACGTGATGTTAATAATGAACGGTTACCAGATAAACTTTAGATTGAAGTTATATATTTGTTATATACAAGGAAGCATTTGTTATTAATATACTAATTTACGAAACTCGTAGTTTTTCAATAATTTTTTATTTTTGAAGTATTTATTCATGTATGTGTTTAACATAATGAATCCGTAGATGGTTATAGCAATATGAAAGATAGTAGATATTTTTGAATGTAATGTTTTAAGGTGTTGGTTTTTTCCTTAGAATGGGGTAGCAGGTTTTAATAAATTCTCAAATTTTGTTTTGAAACTAGTTATAATCCTTAATATTTGATTGGTGGTTTATTGTTTATAATGGGAAAGTAAATAGATTAGTGTAATGAAAAAATCTTCAATTTTATTTATATTTATGTAAATATAATTCTTTGTTGCTCAGCTGTCAAGGATTTTTAATTATGTTCTATTTTATTTCTTAATTTCTCAGGTGAGGTTCCCGGTAAGTAGGTGGCTGCGTCATCAGCAAATTGAGCAATACAGCTGTTATTTAGTGTTCGAAGATATGAAACCTAGATGTTATATAATGTTGGAGTGATAGGTCAACGTTGGACGAGACCAGCTTTCATTGACCTTAGTTTGGAGAGGAGGTTATTAACAGGTATTGCGAAAGTGTTATTATTGAAGACATTATTAATCATTTGGTAAGACTGTAAAGGAAATAGTCTCCACAAAAGTTTTAATAATGTTATTAATAATTTTCCAAAGTTAACTTTCCGGAAACATTTTTCCCATCCTCAGTGGATCTCTAGCAAAATGGAGAAATGAAACATTAAAATAAATTGAACACAAAACGAGGGGAGGGTGTACAGTGAATTTAGTGGAAAAACAAATAATATCATATAAATACAATAGAAAGTACTTACTGCTCAAGCAACGTGGATCTCACATGAATGTTCACAAATGGTCAAAAACTATAAAGTGGCAAAACATGCTGGTTACAGCTAGGTGGCAGCCATCTTTTGGAATGGGAGGAGAGGAAGCCTAACAATGAAGGGAAAGGGATTGGGGGAAGAAAATTATAAAGGGCAGTCATAAAAATACTACTCAAAAGAATGATTAGGGGATAGTTAATAAAATATTTAGAATGGGACTGCTTTTAATCAAGGAATGTTCATTCAAAACAGAAAAATTAGTGTTTTTGAAAAGTTTTAGAATTTCCAAGTTCTCCAAAATGTTCATTTTTGTGCCTTTGTTGACTAGGTGATGAATTTTAAAATTATAAATAGGGTCAAAAGAATGGTTAAATTGAATCAAATGATTGGCAAAGGTAGAAGAGTCTAAATTTTGTTTCCAACATCTGATATGCTCATTAATTCTAACTGAAATTTTTTCTGCCTGTTTGGCCTACATATGCTGAATTACAGTTATACGGTAACGTTCTAATTCTCAACAGTGAAATGTGCTTCGTGGAAAATACGATGGAAATCAACAATTAATGAAAGAGGAATTCCAGAAAATCTGTTAGGATTCATCAATTAATAAAAGGGGAAGCCCGAAAAATCCGCTAGGTGGGAAATGTATTACATTGTAATTGAGTTTATAAATATTAATTAGCAATTACAAAAGTGAACAATGTAAGACTTTTCACTATCTGTTGAAAAATGTAGCTGTTTTAGAATTTTAATGCTAAAATATTTTTACTAAATTGCTCAAATGCATTGTCATTTGTTTGTCACCGCATTTAATGCCTCAATTGTTTTGCATAAAATTCAGCCAGGAACATTCTGTGAGCTATAGTAGTAGTTTACATACAGAATGTTAAATGATTATATGAATGCATAAAGACGAGACTCCAAGCATTCATGGTATTTAAAAATCCATGAGGACAAAGAAGCCTACAATGATATTGGACATGACGAAAGACGTAGACGAAACATACGGAGAGTAAAGAAATCCTTTTAACTGCTTACAGAATTTTCCATAATGACCTTTAAAGTCCACTACTTTGGCGAGTGGGTTTGTGAATTTTATCAAAGGAATATAGATAATAACTATTTAGTGTGCACTGGATTCTTAAGTGCGTACATTTTATTTTTTTAAATTTAAATGACTATAAAATATTTTCGTTCAAATATGAGCAAGAAAAGCGGTAATAAATTCGGAGGCTCTTGAAAATGTGACTCCATCCTCGCAAGCTTTTTCATTGCTTATTCTTTGTGTTTTGACGTTGACGTGGTGACCACAAGAGTAAACAACGTTGCTGCGGAGGAGAATTTGTGGTCACATGCCGCTTGTTTCTTCCTCTAACAAATAATGTGCTTGTTTACGAGCAAAGACACACGATGATTTTCAAAAGCATTCATTAATTTTTGAAAAAGATTTAAAAGAAGACATGTAGTTCAAACATGAAACTTTCTAACGAAAGAAATATTGTTCTTTTTCTCCACCTTATGCTGTATGTCAAATTCGGCCGCAAAAGGTTGTCTCCTAATGTGAAAGTAATAACACAGTAGTCCCAACATTTATTTACCAATGTTACTATTTTTTGTGATAAAAGTGACAAAAAAATACCCAAAAATAATACCTAAGATCTTGTAGTTTACAAAATCAAAACTTTCACAAATGAAGTTAGGATCCGTGTTTTTGAACGTGGCGACTGGCATCATCTCACTCTCAGAAGTGAGTTAGATATACAAAGAACCGGAAGGAAAATGATGGCACAGGGAAAATATTTTAGACATTCATTAGTTAGAAACTAGTGGTTATGCAGCATCACATATTTTTCGTAATATTAAAAACTAGAATGAGATTTTTAAGCATCCGCTCTATACAAAGAACGAAAAATAAATGAAAAATGAAAGCTGATTTGGAGGCATTTTGTGTAAATTTATCGAGCAAAAATTACGCGGAAACAACTCGTAATTTTAAAAATGTACGTGACCTATCGTCAAGGTCTAACTTCTTAGACAAACCATAGGGGATGCCGAGAGATCTGTCAGGAGTCGCATATACGCTACAGGTACTGGAACTAAGAAGTAGGGTTTCAACATCACAAAAATCGATTGGTTACAAGAATAGGAGTGTGTGCAGGATGAAGAAATAATCGCAAAGTGTATGTAATTGTATGATACTTCTGGGACATTGGTCTGGATGATTAGGTAAACAAATAGGAATTTGAGCAGTTGAACTATGAACATCCCTGCAGAAGCACCAAACTCAATATTGAAAACTTCAATTCATGTCGAGTTCATTGGAAGTGAATTTTTGGCACTAGTTTGCCGAGACGAAGACAGTGTCTAGAGACAAGTTACACGTGGTCGCCGTGAAACGATACGGACGAGAGAGACGGACGAAGCAGAGACGGACGATGAGAGACGGCACGAGCAGAGACGGACGAGAGAGACTGGACGAGAGAGACGGACCAGAGAGAGACGGACGAGAGAGACACGCGACGAGAGGAGACGGACCGAGAGAGGACGGACGAGAGAGACGACGAGAGACGACGGACACAGAGAGACGGAACGAGAGACACGGACGAGAGAGACGACGAGAGGAGACGGACGAGACGAGACGGACGAGAGAGAGGACGAGAGAGACGGAACGGAGAGAGACGGACGAGAAGAGACGGACGAGAGAGACGGACAGAGTGAGAAGGACGGACGAGAGAGGACGGACGAGAGAGACGGACAGAGAGACGACAAGAGCGTACGAGGACACGGAGAAGACGGACGAGAGATGACGGACGAGAGAGACGGACGAGAGAGACGACGACGAGAGACGGCACGAGAGAGACGAGACGAGAGAGACGGACGAGAGAGAACGGACGAGAGAGACAGAGACGAGAGAGACGGACGAGAGAGACGGACGAGAGAGACGACGAGAGAGACGGGACGACGGAGAGACGGACGAGAGAGGACGGACGAGAGAGGACGGACGAGAGAACGGACGAGAGAGACGGACGAGAGACGACGGACATGAGAACGACGACGGACACACCGGACGAGAGAGAGACGACGCAGAGAGACGGACGAGAGAGACGGACGAGATGAGACGACGAGAGAGACGGACGAGACGAGACGAACGAGAGAGACGGACGAGAGAGACGGACGAGAGAGCACGGACGAGAGAGACGAACGATGAGAGACGGACGAGAGAGCACGGACGAGACGGAAGGACGAGACGACGACGAGAGAACGACGAGAGAGACGGACGAGAGAGACGGTACGAGAGAGACGGACGAGAGAGACGGCTACGAGAGGGACGGACGGAGAGGAGGCGACAGGTACGACGAGAGCGGACGGACGAGAGGACGGACGAGAGCGGGAACGAGAGGAGGACGGACGAAGAGAGACGACCGAGAGAGACGACGAGAGAGACGGACCGAGAGAGACGGCACAGAGAGACGGACGAGGAGAGGACGGACGAGGAGAGCACGGACAACGACGAGAGACGGCTACGAGAGGGACGACGAGAGAGGACGACGAGAGGGACTGACGAGGAGAGACGGTACGAGAAGAGACGGACGAGGAGAGACGACGCAGAGAGACGGACGGAGAGAGACGGACGAGAGAGACGGACGAGAGAGACGGACATCACGCGCAATTTTTCAATCTTCGTATTTTCTCCCTCATGTTCTCACTTACTTTTATTCCCTACACTGCTAGACCTCTTGAGAGACTAGTTGGTAGCTTATAACCCTCCCGGCTGGGACGGTGCACTGTTGTGGGGTGGATATATTTTCATGGAGAATTCGCGCTGAATGATGTGTTAGTTGGGCATTTTAATTCTAGCGGTGGCGTACCCTCCAGGATACAAAATATACTACACTTATTTGACAAGCCTCTGTATAAACGGTCGCTCACTCACTGAAGCAAATTACTGGCAATGCACGCCGTTTTGATTGGTCCTATCCATGATCTCCCAGCCACCTGCGATCCTAACGGCCACGTCTAACGATCCTTTCGATGGTCCTTTTGCCTTCTTTTTGGCGTCCACAGAAGGGAGGGATAGAGATACAATACCTGAGCTAGAAAGTGTAGGTCCGCTGTGGTGTGGAAGAAGCCGGCGGAGCCCATGTCGGCGACGCCCTGCGCCATGAGCCCGCGCACGCCCCACGAGGAGCCGTTGGCCAGCGCCTTGCCCCAGAAGGGCCAGCGGGCGTCGCTGGTCAGGCGGAAGGTGGCGCCCGCGCTCGCCAGCCAGTGCGTGAGCAGCGCCAGCTCGAAGCCTCCGCCGCCGGGGAACGTCGTGTACGGCGGGTAGTCGAACGTCCCCACCGTCACCACCTGCGTGCGCGCGCCGCGGTGTAAGGCGCCGCTTACACAGGAATCGCTTCAGACCGTAATTTGGATTGGTAGATGTTGGACGAACAGAACGAAACGAAACAGATCGGGTTCACTGCGACCGTGTCCATTCTCCAGCACTTGTTGGAAGGAATTCGGAATATCGAACGGAAACGTCCGATATCGGCGACGGGAATTTCGTCCAAAATAGTCTCCACTGTACTGACAGCGGTTGCAGTGGAACCAAATTGAACCGAGATTTCGGTGGACATCGGACGGTTTCGTCCAATGTGCTGGATTTACTGAAACGTTTGCTGGTAAACGGAAATATTTGCAGCAAGTCCGATTAACCTCTGACACGACGAAAACTTTTTTCGTGAGACAAATACCTGTTTCGTTCGGTTCTGTCGGCTCCATTCGACTTCAATAAGTTGGAGGCGGCAAGGGCAACTCAATCAATGTTGGTTGTCTTAAGAGTGCGTGCGAGCGGTGGCTAGGAATATAGGTGGCTGGCATTTGTCCGGTAGCAATCAACCGATATTTAGGCGGCACTGTGTCTTTAATCTAAGAGAATGAGTGTGTCGGGTCATCATGGAGCGTGCGAATCATTACGAAGCGTGTGCAAAACACATTTCACTCTGGAGTCTTAAAAATAGAATAGTAATAGTAAAAATTGTAAACGTATATTCTTAATCGTATTGTAATTGTAACAAGTGAGAGAGTTGATTCGAGTACTTGTCTCGTAACTATTTGTGAAAGTTTGAAACTTCTTGTGAATCAGAATCAGAATAATTTCCCATTCTTATTTAGCTAGAAATCTGGACGGTCATTCCCAACCGTTGTAGATAAGAGGACCGACCGAAGGCGGTCTCGCGGGTGTGTGCTCGCGTGCTCACCCTGCCGCGCAGGTCGCGCGTCTTGTCCGGAAGCAGCCCGTCGCAAGAGGGTGATGGCGCCAGCGTCGGCGTCAGCGGCTCCCAGCGCCCCAGCATCCTCGCGCGCCACGGCCGACGGCTCGCCCACGCGTGCGTGGACACGCACAGCACCCGCGCCCGAGGCGCCGCGCCCAGCAACGCCCGCCACTCCGCACGCTCGTCAGCGCCTGCGCAGCACGGCGCATCCTCGTGCGAAAGGTGTTAAGGCTGGTGTACGAGTACACGGAACCGGTATAGAACGGAGCGTGTATACCAGTTTCTGAACGTAGAGCGTGCAGAAAAATGCTGTCTTGACTGCAAAATTTCTACATGAAAACTTTAGACCATGTTCGTAATTTTTCATGCAGAGAGCTTAGTTCGACTCGAGTGCCTCTAGCGGCAGAATCGTTCCATACCGGGGTTGTTTAACCGACGCGACGGTAATGAGTAACACGAAGACTGCATCGGTAATACGTAGGTTGGTAGGTAGGTACACTTGAAGTTTCTTAAATTGGACCTCGGATTTGCTCACCTTACGATGTCTTCAACAATATTGAGACTCCAGATTCGAAGTCGAATAATTATTAAAAATCAATTAGTAAAAATGATAAGGAATTTTGCGGAGGACTAGTGTACTGCTAATTTAATGATAGTAGATATTTGTAGGAGAGAGTTAATAATAATGTTATTTTGCATTCACGTTTTGTTAAATGTTTTCCTTTATAGTTTACTGCATCGCATTCTGTATGTAGACATACATAGGATACTAGGAGCTAGAAAAGTGACAGGATATAAGCAGACAGCGGCTCTTAGTACATCTAATCGCCCCTCTGTAAGTATTACCTAGTCGGACTAACGGGCACAGTTATTGTCTCGTGTGTCCATTAGAAGGATTTCCGTTTGTAATAATATTGTAGTAGGTTTAAAGAAGTCGCTAAACATCCACGGTTTAAGACTGAGATGCGATTAAACACTGACTAAAAAATCTTAGAATCACTGTTAATAAAATGTTATGGAAATAAGAAAATGATGGTATTTTCAAGGTGCAAGAATCCAACTTTGTTGCCAGGAGAATGTAAATGAAACTTGAATTTCAAGTGCATATAGTGCGTAGTTCCATATGTTCCAACCCGTAGAATTTTTTGAATCAATGAAATCGGCTTCCCAAAAAAATTTCACATTTCTTCACTTTTCAAAACCAATATCTCATATTTACACTCGTAAGGACACTTCAAAATTTAAGAGAGCCACGATCAATATTATTTTGATGTCCTTTGTAAACGACCGGCGGCTCTCATAATAATGTCCTCCCCGCCATCTCCTTACCGTCATCGTGGGGACAGAAGGTAGCGGCCAGGGCGTCCGGAAAGAGCTCCCACTCGGCCTCCCTGAAGAGCCTCTTAGGATCCGCGGGCGGCGCCGGGGCGGGCAGCACCAGCACCACCTTCTTGGTTGCGCGGGGCCGCGCTCGGGCGACCGCCCGTGCCAGTGCGCGCAGCGCCGCGGCCGGAGCGCGCACCTGCAGTCAGGTGCGACATCGACAATAAAACATCGAGGTTTCGAAACATCCATGTTCAAATTTTAAAAAAATCTACGTTCAAAATACATCGGATCAAAATTATTGGTGTTTTTAAGCATCGACATATATTTAAAAGTTAACAATTAACTAATTTTATTACATTATTAGATAATACAAAATAACTTCATACACACACAATGTTAAGAATATTTCGACTATCTTATTTTTCTCTCTTGATAGCATTCGTCTGAAGAATGTTGAAATTACGGATACGTGAACATTACTGTAGTTTTTTATAATTATTTTTTTAATTCAAAGATAAAATGTCAACCAAGTAAAAAAATAGAGCTCGAAACATCGATGTTAACGAAACAACGCCGTGGGTAAATAAATGTTAACGAATCAACGGTTTCAGCAAATCAATGTTAAATAAATAGATGTTTGCACAAAAATATCGATGTCGCATGCCAGACCTGCAGCACCCACGCGTCGCAGCCCGCGTCCAGCGCCGCGCGCAGCCACGCCCCCTCGAGCTCGTACTCCGGGCCGGGCCACGCGTCGTCCACGCGCAGCGTCACCACCGGCAGCCCCGGCACGCGCAGACGCCCGCGCGCAGACGCGCTCCGCACCACTGCCGCGCAGCGCCCGCCCCGTCCGCGGCCCTCGTCCCAGCTGCGCACCGCGCACTGCGCCAGCCGCTCCACCTGCGCCCACGCGCGCTCTGCACCTGTGAGAGGGGGCGGAGGGTGCGCCTGATCAACTGTGACGCTTTTTGTGGGTACAGGTTTTTTAAAAATTATTTCAAGTCGCTTTAGAAACATCTGAGGTCATTAGCAGCCCCTGTTCATTTACATCAGAGACACAATAAAGTACAGTAAAGATTTTCAGTAATTCAGATCGTATGATCCAGACAGCAATATTAAGGTATTTTAAAATTGATTTGAGACCTTCAATTAAATTAAATATTTTATTTATATCATTATTGATCCCAAGAGAGCTTCTTAAAAATTTGAATACTTAATCATTCATGGATAATGTGAGAGGTTGATCCTGAACAATCTTGTACGGACCCAGCCACCTGTCCAAAATGTGAAGGAATGTTATCAATGTTGCTATGTTATTGGGTATTTAAAAGGGTCGAATTGATTAATTTTTTCGTGATTCCGAGCGCGTCGTCTGTCGTAATCATTTCCCTAAGTAAAGGGCGTGTTTTATCATGAACGGTGGGCGTGTTCTTTTCAAGCTAGTTAATCAGATCCAACGCAAACCTACTCGTCTGTTAGCGTGTTTTTCCCATCCAAGCATCTCCCGCTACCGGGACACAGTCCCAGCCTGGACGAACTCGAAACACAAGACCGGTCTCCCGACATGTGTGGTAGTGTAGTGTGTAAGTGAGAGAGCTTAGCAAGAAGTGAGGATAGGACAAGGAGAGGAAGGAAAGATCACGCGCAGTCTGTAGCCCGTTTGTTTGGGTTCTGCTTCGAAATTCGTCTGGTGTAGATCTGAGAAACTACGAAAAGCTACCGATCAGAGAAGCTGACAGTTAAAATTCTCCTCCAGACAGCGGAAGAAATCGAGCTAGATAGTTTCCAAACCTGAAGCCTTTTATCGTACTGAGCCACGAGAGTAAAATATCTTTGTCAGTGATCGAACGTGTAATGGATTATCTCAAAAAACTTTGTTAATGCTGATTATTTGTTTCATAGCGACCCTCACTGGTAGGCAAATTATCGCTCACTAGAATTTGGCAGGTACACAAACTAATCGGAAGCCATACTCTCTGCCAATTTCAATATTCAGTTTTTTCTTTATTGCTCGACTTTAACTGTAGACATTGCTCTAATTGACGCCCATGAGCTATGATAAATGCATATTATAGGTGATGCATTTTCACGCACAGTTAAAGCTATACAATAAAATCAAAATCACGATATTTTACTTGATAGTGGATAGGTCCCTCACAGTTAGTGTACCTACCAAATACGCGGAAGGAGTTAAATACCAATTACACACGTCATGTTGAAAATATTCCGTCGTAAATATACGAGACTGCTCAAAACATGTTTATTGGTAAAAATATTTAATTATTGCCCACCCTTTAAGTTTCTAACATTTATTCTGAAGCACCTGAAATGTGGTTGATTCAAAATTGTCATTGAACCCGCGATATGTTTTTTTTGTTTTTTGTGATATGAATCAGTGTTCATGAATCGGTATTATGAATAATTTATTTACGATCATTAATTTATAATTGATTTAGAATGTACTATCAACCTTAACACGCTGAAATTATGAAGGATAATTTGCATATAAGGTATACCGTGGAAAAATTTTGACTCCAAATGCACAATAATTGGAACGGAATTGAGAAACGCTGTGGGTCGCAGTCACAGGTCCCTCACTTTTGCCTTTTCCCCTAAGGCAGGTTTACTCTTTGTAGCACCAAACCGGCAGCCGCTGACAATCTGTATCGAAAGTTTGATCACTATGGGTCACGCCATTTTTCATCACTCGGAGGAAGACATGATTTTGCATGAACAGAATACA